CCTCAGCCGTTTCTACAGTAACTGTGCACTGCATTGTGCTTTCTATTCTCAGACTCGCCTTGGAAGCCAATTAAATTAAAAGGCTATTCATTTCATGATATTTGTCTCCAGGAGGCTCAAATAGAAATGCAAACGATTCCTGTTCGGAGTTCCCTGCATCAGAGAAACTGATATTGTACTGCTAATTTGTGATAACACCACCAGCCAATATGCAATCTGCAGTGATTTAAAAGATGTGCATAGGATGTACGCTGAACTTACAAACACTGATTAGGGAGATCATGGAATTAAATCTTCTGAAGGGCACGTCTTTCAAACCCTCAAGGCAGCTCTTTTTCTTGGTTTAATCAGATAGTTAATCACTGTAACTCAGGCTTTCCAAGAGCCAGATTCATCAATACCAGGAAACATGGATTTGTAGTATTGAACAGTTACAGTCTCAGGAAAGTTTGGTGAGAAGAAAAGCTGTAAAAAGGTGGTTGGTAAGCGCTTGGCTGCTTTAAAAAAAGCAATGGAGGAAATGAGGGAATTTTTCCTACTAAAAATAAAGAATCATTTGAGGACTGATTCACTACTTTGAACAAGAGAGAAACATATTCCCAAATACTTTGTTCTCTTAAGGACTAGTCTTATTTCCAGCTCAGTGAGAAATTAACATTTTTGTCAAATCATAGAAAACAAATTGACATGAAACATTACTATACTGTGCTTTTATTCTAAATTAAGCTTGTGGTATAGTTCCCATGTCACTTGGAGCAACAGTAATGTCAGATCTGGAGGAATGACCTTCACACTGAAGGGAAGCGAGAGGACTTGAACACCATCCTGCAGGATACAAAATTACATCCTGCAACGTGCCATTTGCAGATCATTTTTGCAGGCTGGCAACCACAAATTGAAACCTGCCTCTCATCAATGGCAGATCAAATGTTAGGGCTTTCCTAATGGCCATGGGACTGAAAGGCTTGTTGATAGAGAAGATGTGGGTTTATAACAGAGGCGGTTTATCTGGACATGGGTGACAGGATGTAATAAGCCAAATGAGGCTGAAATGACAAAAATGTCTCCAGGCTTATGAAAACCTGGAGCACTATTTCTAGGAAAACCTGGCAGTTTAGACAAAATTGCCAAACACTTTAACTACCTTTTCAGAGAGATGAAATCATTCTGGGCCAGAGTCATTCACCTGCAGTGCTGAACCCCACGGACCTTCCACCAGGGGTGAGCTTCAAGACAGTGGGTTGAGAAAATGAACTTGCTTCCCTCTGTCCTCATTAAATTAGTTTTGTTTTCTTCCCTTCCTGACTCCTAGTAAAGTTCCAATCAGTTACTGAAGTATTCAAGACAGAAATATTTAAGGTGAAAACTGGTAAGTAAAAATAGGGTTCTTAAAATGGCTTGGAAATAGAAGCAAATATGAAAATTTCATGAAGGTCACTGCAGCATTTCTAGTCATTCTCTACTACGTTGACTAGAAGGTACTCAATAGAATGAAAGGTGAATGACAGAGATGACTGAAGGAGAAGCTCCTTTTCAGCCTGAGGATTTTATGCCACAAAGTAGCAAAACAGGTCAGCTGTTTAGCTGGCTTCCAAAAAAGCATGAAAAATACTGTAGTGTACTGCAAACCAAAACACCTGGAGGGGTTTGTATGTGTGCATGGATTTGTATTTCACAGCACAGGTGGAACAGTGAAAGCAAGATTTGCACACTAAGGACCAGGAACTCTGTGCTGACACAATTTTCTATAAATTGCCCTGTAATATTTCTTGAACTATCTTCTGACATGGCTGGAATATACCCTGCTGAAAGAGAAGATGCTGCAATAGAAAATGCATAGGTCTGTTGGATATGGAGCTTCCTGCCTTTCCCTGTCCTTTGTTGCCCAATTTCCTTGCTTTGAGATCGTTTTCCTTATTATTGTAATAATTGCAGAACATTAACTTTGAGTTTGATGCAACAGTGATGGGGCAAAATTTGTTTACCTGCCTCAGTTTTGCATTAGATGATGAGGTCTCATTAGAAGAAGGAAGGAAAATTATCTTTGATAATTTATTTTTGTTTGGTTCTCCAAGTATAACAATCAGTTTCTAAAAAAACTCCAACAGCTTTTCAAACCTTTTACTTTTCTGTATGACTTCTTCCAAACTAAGTCTTTTCCTGAACATGAGTTTATTTGAAAAGAGAGGAGAGAAAGTGGATTTTTTCAATTCAATTTTCTTAAGGAAAAAAAAACTATTTTAAAAGACTAACTTTTCTTTTTAAAGGACAAATTTTTCTTTTTAAAAGAAAGGTATCTTTGGAAAAACCTGAAGAGAGAAATTCCAAGTCGAGCTCATTGCTGCAATGTAATTGTGGCCAAAGACACAAGCTAGTTTTGAAGGACTTTATTTTATAGAAGCAATGACATTTAATTAGAAGAGTTAATGATAAAAAGAAGTGTAATGAAAGGGAAAGAAAACTTGTTTCATGTAAGGATTTAACAATGCATTCAGGACAAGACTTGATTAGGAAAAATTACCTCATTTATTTCCTTTGTATGAAGTGTTCTTTACAATCACTTCAGGCATGTTGTCCTGTCCAGTGGTATGAGAAGACCTGAGATCTGGAAGTTTATTCCTGTGAAAGTAACAGAGAAAATACACTTTTAAATGTGGAAAGGTATCTGACCATCCTGATTACAGTGAATAGGGACAGTATTAGCAGATGTTGCATCACATACATACTTTATTATGTTATTTTGCTTTTTTATTTTTAACACAAAAAATCTAGTACTTTTTGCATGAAAGTAGTGAAAAAAAAGGAAAAAAAACACCCTAAAAAAAGCTTTGACTTTCTATGTAAACTTGAGCACTTTTAAATGCAGCTCATTTCAAAAATAGAAAGCATTATTAAGGAAAAGAATTTTGGTGAAGAATAAATCAATGGGAGTTTTTACTGACACACTCCTCTTATTCATTGAAACATGGCACCTCATTTTAGGCACACATAAAACATGCACAGGATGGTGCTGGTAGAGAACACCTATTTCTCACTAAGAGTAAATTCAGCAGGCTATGCTGTTCCAAAGCACCAATCTTTGGTGATATAGAAGTAAGACATCCCTAAAAATAAGCTTTTTTTAAGGAAGATGAAAAAACCAAATTCAGTCACATCATCAATATAAGAAAAAATCCCCTGAGACTTAAATCAGAAGCTTCTAACTAGCACCCCCCTCTCCCCTTAGTTAAATTTCTGGTGTTTTCTAAGGAAAGCTATTGAGATAAAGGAGTATAAAAGAAGAGACAATTTTATGAGTTCATTTGTATAATTAGAGGTTTAAACCATGAGGATCAGCCATGTTCTGGCTTGAAAGGTCAAATGCATTTGAGTATTCATATTTTAAGAATTAGGCCGAAAGAAGATTCAAAATTAGAGGGTGTTTTGATCAAAATTTTTAAGTCTCTCTCAAGTAAACCAAAGTTAATTAAATAAAATTGCTCATGGCTGATTAGAGTGTACATTTGACCATCAGTTGCATCTCACATTCTGCTACCTACCAGCTGGAACGTTGATGAGACTTTTTATAACTTCATTAGAGCTACCTTGTGGAACAATTTAATCATATAAACTCTTATAATGCAGATGCACAAGTACAACAATACCAGCTGCTGGCTTCTGGTCCTGTCATGCTGCTCTACCCCTTTACTTCTCGCCCTGCCATACAGCACATCCCTGCCACGTGGGGACTGCCTTTGCAGGATGCTCAGCTGCAAGAACAAGCTGATTTTTCCTGTCTAACATCCAAGGTGCAGAGTTCCTGAAGGAGCAGTAAAGACATGGGGCTTCATAGGCCTGGATCTTACTGAGGGAACCTCCTGGACAACGTGGTTATCTGACAACACAGACAGTATTTTTGGGTGGGTTTTTTTTTGGGGGGGTGAACAGATAAGTTAACACTGAGAGGACAATATCAGCCTATCTAACTGCTTGAAATTATTCTTTCGATTCTCTTTCTCAAGGAATTCTGCAGGGCTCTGGCACAGGGCTCTCCTCTCTCACCAAAGAGAAAAAAAAGCTTTAGCCAAAATGAAACATTTGGATTTTCAGGATAAAATGGCTTAATGTCTTCTCTACAGCAAAACAGTGGAAGAAAAAGAAGCAGCAGCATTGCAAACAAGTGAGGCGACACAGCTCAACATGCAGCCCTCCTTACTATGCAGCACACCTGCTAGTGCATCACATTTGAATAGTACCATTTATCTTTATAACCCTTTTCTTTCTAGACTGTATTTCATTTATTTCTTTGTCTGACCTCCAACTCCTCTGTCAGAGGTGGTACAGACAATAAGCAGCAGCAATGGGAAGGAGAGCAAAGGCAGAGAGAAGTATCAATTTATACCACAGAGAAGTATCAATTTATACCACAGTCTTGGTGACTAATCACTGAGTAGCATCTCTTCAGAACTAGCACAATCTCTGAAAGGTTCCCATATGTTTGAGGCTGACTGTGTGCACGCATGATAATCAGCTTCAAATTATAATCAAGATATTAGAACGCAACTTTGCAAAGCAAACAGCTGAGAAGATCTGCAAATACTTGTCATGGAGAAGACAACAGAGCTTTGGAGGGGAGAATCTGGCTCCCATCAGCTTCTGGTTGATCAGTGTTCAGTGTGGGGAGGGAAAGAGCCCTTGCAGGGGGACCGCTGAGGGCACTGCACCGATGGGACCTCTCCCTCATGTCTGAGAAGAGTAGTAGCCAAGCTGTGTCACTCCTGTTTCCCTCTAAAAATAACTCTAAAAAATTACCTGCAATGCAGAATGGATGTTGTCTAGATAAAGTCCCCTTGCCATGAGGGTTGAAAGGATTATTTTTTTTATTGCCAGTCCCCAAAATGAACCGTACAAGCAGACCCACAGAGGAACAAGGTTCTCAGTGATTCAGCTTTTCTGCACAGCAACAGCAGGACAATGTGCTTCGGTCCTAACAGGCTGGCATCAAACTGCCTTCTCCCCTTCAAGGCCTGAGGACTTCTCTTCCACAGGACTCCTCCAGCAATCCCAGTAGTGCCATGGGCATGCAATGGCATAGATGGAGTGCACATACCCTGGGCTCTGTTTGCAGCAGCAGCTCCATGCAGCCTCTCTCCCTGTGCATATCAAACAGAGTTCATGGTGATAATTTAAACATTTGTTCTTGTTCCCCACTTGGTCCCCTTTTTTTTTAGCATCCCGAAGGCCTCCGCATAGGAAAAGCAGGTGTGGGAGTAGCTAACGAGATATTCACTAAGATCAGATTTTGATATAGATGACAAGGCAACTCAGCCCCAAACTTCTGCTTCTCAGCATTCAGCTTTAAGGATCGTTTTGTTTTACAGCCAGAAAAACTACCTGCAGCAGCATTGCTGGGGAACTAAAGCCTCCAGCCACATTTAGCTTCCATTTCAGCTACTCTGCATTGAATATTCCCCTTGGAAATTCAGAGAGCTACTGCACTGTCTGTTACATGTGTTATATAAAGACAATCAGGATGAGGTATTTGGGCACTGACCTGCTTGATTTTATTTTTGGCATTCTCTCCTTCCCACCCCACCACATATATTTGTGAAGCATGAAATACATTCACCCTTCCTGACTCAGTTCTATTCTTTTTCAATCCTGACAGAACACTTGAGGTTGGTAAGTGAACTGTGCTAGGCTGGGTCATGTTTTCAAATGAAGAAAAAAACACCCCACAGCCCTGAAGCAGATTGATATAATTTTGGTTTCATAGCTGACAATCATTTTTCATCATTGTTTCAAGCATGAAAGATTTAGCAGTGGCTGCATAAAACTTCAGTGGCACAAACCTTTGATGTTCTGTCAAGCAGCTTTGCTTTTCCCCCTGTCATACAGACAGCAGTCACAAATTACTCCCTGGCAATCCTAGGTGAGGATTATGCAGATTATTAGAAAAAGATGAGGTTTAAAGAGTTATTAAAAGTACCTCTGTGTTTCAGCAACACGCAAACACGCAATTGTGTCCTTCACAAAACCTCCTGGTTTTCTTATTTTAATGTGCTGCTGGTTTTCCTCTGTGTCAACTGATTTCTTTGGTTGGGCATTTTCTCCTCAGATTCCAAGTAATCAAACTGTCATGAGCATCCTCCTAAGAGAAAGCACTGGAACAAACAGAAAACCACCACATTAGCAATCTGCTTGTGAGCTGCAAACACATGCACAGAGGCTGAGCAGAGCACATGTTTCTCTGAAGGGCCAGTTGTGCTACTTGGAGTGTGACTCTGCAGGATAAAGCTACATGGCAATATAGAATTAGAATATAGTGTCCTATTTTATTTTAAGCTACTGCCTTCTTGAATGGATGTACCATCTGTTTCACCGCTAATGAATCCAGGACAATTTTTTGCCCTGGCTTGAGTTCCACTGGGTTGTCCAGAGTTTTCTCGTGGGCACCAGTTTAAATTAAGTAGGTGAAATGCCACTGCAAGAATTAATGCTTAAAAATCCGTGTCTTATCCAGTAAAGTCTTTCACCTAAACAGTGTGTGATCTTATTTTTTTTTTTTGATCTGCAGTTTTATTTCATCAACAGCATCTGCAGTTTGCTGTGTTCTGTATTTTGCTACGACAGTGGATTCTGCAGACCCCTGGAGCACGCATTCCCTTAACTACCATTGCAGTTTTGGTGATGCAGGTCTCTGAGATCTTTGCTTCGCGACTGCAAGTGATTTTTATCATCCAAATGGGCTTTAGCTGTAAGATGGTGATAACAAAACTTCTCCAAATAATTGATCTGCCCAAGGTTGCGCAAGGAGTGGAGGTTAAGGAATATCAGCATCTTCCTCAGAGCTTTGGAAATTATTACTATGGATCATTATTAAGATCTTTGAATTTTTGAATGATGCTTGGGCTCTGTTGCAAATACTTTACAGGAAACTGCCCTATTTGAGTAATCTCTGATGCAATCCAGGAAGAGCACAGTAGGTTAATGAAGGGATGAGAGGAAAGTAAGAATAACTAATAATAAGTGAAAGAAATAGGCTTAGTTGTCTGTACAATATTTGCAGATGAGCGTTTCATACACACAGTCATGTGGAGATAGACAGGCATTCAGATCCCCAAAACTGAGTAATTCACTCCAAGTACCTCAAATTTCATGGCTTTCAAGATTTAAAGTGACCTCTTCAAAGATTAGACAGTGATGAAAGATCAAATCAAGCAAACTTTTCCTGTCTTACACCTTAAGAAGTCAATGGTACTATGCACACAGCATTTTATGGGATTATATTTTACTGTGCTTGTACTCTCACTTATTTCTCAGTATTTAATTATCAAATACCTCAATGAACTCCTCAGGATACAGCTACAACTCAAAAATTATTCACTGAAAAGAGCTGTTGAAGAACATTTGACACACAGAGGAAACCATTCGTAGAAAATCCCCAATCAGCAAAATTCATTGACTAAATTATACATGATTAATTATTCACCCATCTCTCACCACACAACTTCCCCTCCTCCCCTTTGACAAATTCCTAAAATGATCAAAATGCTGATCACAGCCCAACAGTTTATACAGCCTCTTGCCTTTATGTCTCCCTTCCAGCTTCTTCCCTCCAGTCCTTTAGTAAGCAAACCCTTCTGGTTCAGCAATTTGGCGAACCAGAGAAATTTTGACTTGCAATTATATAACTGCTGCAAGGCACTCCAGTCAGCAGGAATGCCATCCAGGAGATTCACAGCTGGAAAAATGAAGGAACAGCCATCTCCCCCTGCCACGGGACTTATATTGGGTATGCAGCCTTCAGTTCTGAACGCTTTGATTTATTGGAGGGAGAAGCAATGTGAAAACACTGTCAGGCTTCTGCAGCCACTGAGATATTAGACTGCTCCATCCATGTACATCACGCTCAGGAAAAGCACAAGAATCTGGAGGGATATAAATTAGAAGATCCTGGAGGTGTGGAGTGGAAGGAGGAATCAGGAGGGTAAACTTAGCTTGTGATTAGCTTTAAATCCTGAGAAACATGAAACAAATTCTGGCTGCTTCATGAATTACACCTTGCCTTTCCCAATTGTTCCTTTATTTGTCATTCTCCAGCAGAAGTGCAGACCCACACTCTCCCTGCCCCTGGCTTGCAGCCACTTGGGCCAGCAGGATCTGCCTGCTCTGTTGCGCTCTCTTTCCCACATATCTTTTTTAGAAACCACTTATTGAGATCTTAGACCTGATGTATTTTTAATTCTGCTGTGAAATCCTTACTTAGAGAAGATGCTGCTTTGGCTGACAAGGCCTTCCACCAAGCTGTGGATCACACTCTTTTCTGCCCTTCACAGCAACCGTATTCCCACTTCTTAAGGGATCTCTTTTAAAGGGAACTCTGTTAGTCAAGAGAAATGAGCTCTCTCTTCCCACCCTGTCTGCACAATGCCTGGTTTATACTATTTATATAACAACTCTCCAACCATTAAAGGGTAAACTGCAGCTACAAAATTCATGCTGCACAGATTTCTAAACCTGAAATAACTTTTACTTGTGTGTTACATTTTGTATTAGATCCCATGGTCCAAGGCTCTGTAAACGATTTTCAGTCCCGAACCAGACCCATAACTTCCTTCACAGTTGATTTTTGGAGTGTAAGGTTCCATATGATGTTCTGTATCCTCCTCAACTCGAAGCCTGCTTGCAGGTGGTCCTCCTCTGCATTGGTTGATCACAATTAGCCTAAAAAGAGCCAGGGCCTCTTTTGCTCCCATCCTGTACACAAGCATGGAATCACTTAAATTCCCTGCACAAATGTCATCATTCACATCTTCAGCTCCTCAGACAAAAGGGACCTTTCCAGCAGAATACATTGGACTAGACCTCCTTACTGCAGGGTTGTCCCTTTAAATCATTTCCTAGGGCTCACTCCTGGCTTGATGGGGGAAGGGAAGGCAGGAGAGCCTGGAATTTGGGGGGGGGAGCAGTTGACTGCAGCTCTTAACTAGTCATTTTGCAGCTAACCTCTGTAAGGCAGCTCTCTTCCACATGGTAAATAGGCTTATTTATTCTTCTCACATCTCATTACTAATGCTTTCAATGTATCCTAACTAGACAAGCAACCAGCTTCTGTCCTTGGATACCAGCCCAGTTCTCCTTGACTTCACCAGCAGGCACAGACTATCTGAGGAAAGAATTCAGCTCAGTATAGTATTTACACTACATGCTAATTATTAAAACAGCCACCAGCTCCTGTTTCATAAGCAAAGATATAAATTCCAGGTCATTACATAAAATGACTTTATAAAGCATTTGCAGAGACCATTAACTTAGCTACAGCTCTCTGCTCACCCTTGAGAGGAACAGGGACATCTGAAACAGCAGCACCCCACTCTCTCCTCTCCTGCAGAGGTGTGGTTGCAAACCAGGAGGGATGTTGCCCACCTCACTCACTGCCTGGTCCCCGGTGGGAATTTGATTTAAATTCTGTGGGCAGCAGGTGAGGGAAGCGATTCTGTCCCTCTGCTCTGCTGTGGGGAGACCCCACCTGCAGTGCTGCCTCCAGCTCTGGAATCCCCAGCACAGGAAAGACATGGACCTGTTGGAGCAAGTTAATTAGATGGATGGAGCACCTCTCCTATGAGGAAAGACTGAGAGAATTGGGGTTGTTCAGTCTGGAAAAGAGAAAGCTTTGAGGTGACCTAATTGCAGCCTTCCAGTACCTGAAGGGATCCTAAAAGAAAGATGGAGAGGGACTATTTGCAAGGGCCTGTAGTGACAAGGGAGAATATCTTCAAACTGACAGAGGGCAGGTTTAGATTAGACATTAGGAAGAAATTCTTTACTGTGAGGGTGCTGAGGCAGAGAAGCTGTGGCTGCCCCATCTCTGGGAGTGTTCAAGGCCAGGTTGGCTGGAGCTCTGAGCAACCTGGTCTGGTGGAAGGTGTCCCTGCCCATGGCAGGGGGTTGGAACTGGGTGATCTTTAAGGTCCCTTCCAACCCAAACCATTCTGTGATTCTCTGATTTTGTGGTACATCAGGAAAACCAATTTGAGATCTTGCAGCTGATCCAACAAGAAAAGGTGAGGGGATGCCTTCCTGTGAGTAAGACTGTGCTACAGAGCAGAGTCATTCCCAGGCCTCTCTCAGGTGTCCTGTGCCTCATTTCTCCATCTGTAAAATAGGGCTAATAGTTCCCTCACACACAGGTGATAGGGAGATGAAAGATGCTCAAAGATTAAGTGTAGTCCATAAAAACATGACAAGTTTGATTCGGTATAAGCTGGTGACAACTGTAAATTTCAAAGGCAATTCATTTCACAGATTTTAGTGCCATTTCCAAACGTTTATGTCTACTCTGCTACTGCAGTTCACTTTGCAAATCCACAGCTGTTGAATAGAAGTCATTAAGGGAAGGGGGGAGAAGCCACAGTTTTTGTAAGAAGTGATCAGGAGCAAATTAATTCATGTAGGCTCTGAATTTTGCATCGGTAGGTTTCAGTGCAAATCCAATTGCAGTAAACAGTTTATATTCCCCCTCTAGCTATTGTTTTGAGCTATCTTCAGATGCATACTGATCTCCCTGAACTGCTTTATAGGCTCTTAACATTGCAGAGGTTTTCTTTGCAGCTGATAACCCCAGGCTGGTACCTTCAGGCTAAAAGCTGATGCTGTAGAGCTCATGTGTACCAGCTCAGTGGAGCTGTTCTATTGGATAGCTGAGGCTCTCATTTGTAATTAAAGAGTAGAAAAATTGATTTCTGAAAAACAGTTCTGGGATGAAGGTGGAGTTTACTGTGAACTCAACAGCTCTGGAGTTTCAGACAACAGCTTTTAAATTTTTTTCTGTGCAGGGAAACAGCCTGTCAGAGGTTTGTGCTTCCACCACCTAACCAGTCACAACTCATTACCCACACAGTTGTGCCAACAAAGTGATCACAGTATTCCAAGCTGAAATCAAAAGAAATTAATTCTAGGGGATCTACCTAGTCCAGTCACAGCACAGGTCCAGAAACAGATTAATGAGCACAGTCAAGGGAGCAGGGGTGTGTGAACATCCCTAAAACTATGACACTGTCTGGGGAAAAAAAGCCTCTTTTGGTAGCTTTCCCAGCAACCAGCTCTCAGAGAAATCATCCTCAATTGATATGACCAAAAAGCAAGTGATGAGAGCCCTTATAAACCTAGCAGGAATCAATTTAAAAGACAAAAAAAGGGCACAATTGAGGCCTTTCTGCTGACACTCCCTGTTCAGGGCTCCATGTCCATTGTTAACAGCCGATAAAAGATTTCTCTCAGACATTCTTCGTGCCACTTCCACTGTCCCCATACTGCTGGTTGGTGGCACTGCACGCTGAAGACCTCTTCCTGCCAGACTTTTAAACAATGCACAGACACACAACTCACTCCAACTTAGATCTGACACTTTTCCTCAAGATTAAATGGGCTACTCGCAGAGACAGACAACTCAGTAACTTCAAAGCTCCCTGCCTTAGCTAACAAGAAACAAATTGCTTCCCCAGTGACTCCTCTCGAGGGAGTAATGCAGGATAAACCTGTGATATTTGCATTAATTCATCTTTAAATATAAATCGGAATAGATTCTGTTTCTGTAATATATTTCCACATTATTTAAATGGACTTGTTTTAAAAGCCAGTAACATGTTTGCTTTGGGAATATTTTGCATTTATATTTACCTTTTGGCTGGCAGTTCATTTTATGGGAAGATCTGTTGGAACCAAAGCAGTTGAGGATTACAAAGATTTTAGAAAGGATTTACATCTGAGGCCCCTTTCATCACGATTTTCAGCAATGCCACTTTACTTAGTTTAGTGACATTTAAGGATATTGGAAATATTTTGGTGACAGACCCCACCAGTGATCTCAGCTGCCCGAGGAGAGCTGGGCTTTGTTTGCACCTTTCCTGATTCCTGCTGCCTGTGGAGCAGGTTTGATGAGCAGACATCAAAGCCCTCTGCAGAGGTGCTCGATTTCATCATCCCATTTTTTGTAGTGGGGGAAACTGAGATATGAAGGAGAGAAGGGAACAATATTGCCTGAAGGCCAGTAGAAAAAGGATTAGTTTTTTTTCTTGTTTGCTCACAACAAGCACCATAGGTTACAAGTTGCTCACTCACTCCATCCTCTCCAGTTATGTCAAAGTGCTTTGAGACCATTATTAGGGTATTCCTGCACTACCTAGTCCTGTTTTAGGATTCACTATCCGGTTACCTACACTTCCCTCTGCTGCTGGGGGAACTCTGCAGCTGAGCAGGTGTAGAAGGGACCTGGTATCACCCCAGTGCACTGTCAGCATCATTTAGTTTAACCTGACAGTAAAAGTGGACTTCAGTAAAATGCTGTCAATGGAAGGACCCGAGGCACGAGATGGGAGAGTGTATGTGCAAATCTGTAAGACTGTGTAAGCTCAGACATCCATCAAAGTGAAGAAAAACCTTTCTGAGGCTCAGCTCCTCTTCAGCCCAAAGAGCTCCCAGGCTCCAGGTGCTCTCTCACGGCATTGCTGGCCTGAGAAAGCAGAGCTGCTGTGCTGTTTTCATTGCTGCCCTAACCCGCAGCAGCCACACGTGGTATCACACGGTGTCGGCGATGACACCCCACTGCCTGAGCAGCTGCATCACTCCTGGCCTTTGTTTTATCTCCTGATTAGCTGCAAGAAATTCGCTGTCACACAGAAATCAGATTGACTCCCACTGCACTGGTTGGGAACAGTATTTGTGCAAAGACTCTCTAAAGGCAGACGTGAGGTTCTGTATTTTTTGATAAAGTTCACAACTGAATATTATGAAGTGGTGGGGGGAAATCAATACTTTGGTCACTGGGTAAATGCTTTTGAGTTCTTTTACTGGCTCTAAGATTTACTGTTTAGCCACTCCAATTCCCATCATGTGCAAATGTTTCCTATATTAATAGAAGAAGAGTGATTTGTGGGCAGTGAATGGGAAACAGGACATCAATTTAATGGGGCCATTTGGGGTTAGCACAAAATGACAGAACAGCAGGAAGCAGTTAAAAGCTTCCCTCTCAGCAATCAAAGGCCTGCAATTTTGAGTCTTTTCCTCCAATCAAGTAGTGCATTGATGAGAAACCAGTTCTGATAATGACCTTTGAAAGACCTCATTCTGGCCTTCTGGGGTAATTAATTTCTCTAACTGTGGTGTCCTAACAGGAGCTCAGCAAATGCACGTCATCTACACAATCACTAGAGATGCATGACAAATGGCAGAAACCAAGGGGAGATTTCTTTTCCCTTATCTTGGCTGAATTTTTTTCCTTTGAAGGCTCCTGATCTGACTTGCTGGTATTGCTTTTTCTGTGTGCATCTTCCTCTCTCCTACCTGTCTGTCCCAGCTCATTGAAATTACGGATAGACCATCCTTACTAATTCATCAGTCCTACTGTAGCTCAATGCATGAGTTCCTTCCTGTGCTGCATATTTTTACATTTCATTCTATAAGGCTGCTCCTAAATCAAGTCATGCTCACATTTCATTCCAAGCTTTAGTTCAATTAATATCACGTTTTTGGCAGTGCTGAAAAGAAACTCTCCTTTTTCTTTCAAAGGCAGCCATGGAGTGCTGAATGCCAGCTTCCCTAGATGGGGAATGGTAGGTGTTTGCTCTCAGTCCTGCTAACGTCAGGAGTTGTATTTCATTATACAAAAATACACCTTCAACCAGTGACAACAAACCTGCCAGCACAGACTGAGCTACTGGAAAATGCCAGGAACGTATCAGGACAACACAGTAGCTTTCAGCTGATTTTAGTGACCATACCACAACCTGCTTTTAGAGCTCCAGTTTTCAGTTTTAAGGCTCTTCTGCCTTTTCCCAGTATGCTGGAGATGGTGATACCCATGATCACTGTGACTGCTCTGCTGGGGAGCTCTGCTTGTAAAACAGGAACAAAACTGACTGCCATGAGTTGGTAGGGACCCCAACTTTTAAATTTCTCATGATGCACTTCAGTGACTTTTCAAGCTCCTAATACCAGCTCAGAAATGCCATGAAACACTGACCTGGCATGAACTCCCTCTGTCAGTTCAGATCTGTTCCAAACCTCGGCAGGCGTTCTGCCAGATCTGGGATCATCCATCCCCCCTGCAGCTGGCAGAAAGGTGACACAGAAATCACAGCACTTGCAAAGGCCATCCTGTGTGCCCCAGCTAATTCCCCACAGAGGCAGCATGTTGAGCCCACGCCGGATTCACATCAAATCATTAGGAGCATTTGAAAAGGGAACACAACACCCTGCTCCTGCCATCCCTGGAAACAGGAGAGCTTCCTCTCCCAGCTGTGTCTTGGGATTCCTGCTCTTTGCCATCTTGTTATAAGCCAACAAAGACCACGTGTAGAGGGGTGAAGGAGAGCGCTCGATACGACAATTACAGGCTATACTTGAAAATTGTTTTCCTAAGCAGGGTCAGCCAACCTGCTCATGCCCCAGCACTGAGCAGGAAAAACATCTTATGTAGCATATATTGTGAAGAAACTGCCATATGAAGTGTGGAGGACAAAGGCAGAAACATGTATGGACTGTATTCTAAGGCAGCAAAACAAATTCTCCCTCTGTAGGGTCTAGGAAAGTCACAAGCACAATCAACTTTTAAAAATCATTTAAATAGTTGTCATGACCCTATTCTTACCTTGTGTCTGTTGATTTGGCTCCCATGATGCCTGAATATCTTTTCTGAAGCCAGTTTGCTATCTATTGTCTGTGCCTGATGAGAGCTGTTATTTCTGATTATATGCTTTTCCTCTGTATTCCAGATCTCTATGCTTTCTCTCCCTCAGCACATTTCTCCCTAAGCACTGAAGGTGTCTGATGCAGGTACCACCTCCAGCACGCCCTAGTGGGTATGAACAAAGCAAGAACATGTCACACCTTAGCCTAAGACTGCAACCAAGGGGCAATATCCTCACATCTTGAAGTGCCTTTATACTGTGCTACCCCCATGCTCTGGAAGTTCTGCAGGATTTCCATGCTAAATACAGTTCCATCGTTCTTTTATTCATAAAAAGTCCCACTGCAGAAACAAGCCAGGCAAGCCAAGCTCCAGCTGTCTATGAATTTATTTTATTGCACCACAACTTCCTAGGAACAAGGCGTTAAAGAAAGCAGATGTTTCCATGTGTGCTTTTAAAGTAGATGTGAGCCCTGTCTCCCAACACGTCCCCTGAGCCCACAGGGACCATTGACTCTGTAAAGACAGAAGCATGAATTAGCCTTTGCAGAATCATAACTCTCACACCCTACAAAAAAAGTGAATTAATGCTCATTTTCCCTTTTGAGCACAACCAGCAATTGGCTGGAGAAAGTGAGGTTAGGGAATACTGAAATACATCTGTACACACAAAGGAATTATCCTGCCTCTCCTGCCATGCTAGGCCAGTGTTCAGCACATTCAAGACAGCTTCCAAGCAGCACACCAAAGCACTGGGATGTCCCACTCTCACTCAACCAGTCCTTTTCCACCAGGTATTCCCAGTGCCCCCAGTCTCAGAACACAGGGAATTGCTGGGCTTCGATCACATGGGAGCCCCTGGCACAGAGTAGGAATAGGTAGCTCAGGGTAGAAGAGAGCTGGAAACTCTCCTAGAATAACAATAAAATTCAAAAAATGGGATTCATAGTTGTGAGAAATCACAATCACATACCATTCAGCAGCCCAGCTATAACCCTCCATCACCAGAGTACTGTGATACACGATCCCAGTTCTTTGGCTCATGGAATCGCCTTGCTCACAACAGCCTTGGGCCTGGGAGCCTCCACCACTGCCTCACACAGAGGTTCCCGTTGCACTTTGTGCCTTCCAGTTCCTCCCAGCTGCTGAGCTGTTTGACACAATGCTCAGCACGAGGTTGCTGTCAGCAACACAAGGTGCTTCACCCTCAGGGAAATGGAAACCCCACTCAGATACCTCCCCATGCCAGCCCTGTTTGTTGTTAGGACAAAACCAGCCACAGCTATTTCTGAAACACTGATGCTCCCCAAGCAGCACTTAATGTCACTGCGAAGCTTTAAAATGAGACCTAGAAAACTGCCCTTGCAAGGATTTGTTCAAATGTAAACCCCATTGTACCAGGGTGGAGGATCCCTGAAGGCCAACTGTGTTATCTTTTGTCTAGAGAAAACAATTAGAAAGCTGATTTTAAAATGCTACAATTAAAGGCTTAATATAAATACATTTCTGATGGTATCAACAAGCTTTCAGACTTCAAGAAGCTCTTTCAAAATACCAGTGACTTCAAGCAAAATAGCGGGTTCTGTTTCCTCCTTCATGGTGAACAGACTACAGGCAATTTACATGCACTTTCTAATCTTAAAAATACTTTATCTGTGCTATGCATCGTATGTGCTATGAATTTCACACACAGACTGTAAAAATATACATAAAGCCTCATACAAATTTACTGTTCTGTCTGTAGATTCATGGCTGAAGATAAAGCATTGTAGTACAAAGGCTTGGGGGCAGGCACACAAAATCTGATGAGCAGGAGTTCTGTAAAATTTAATAGAATGTTTGTACCTGTATTTTAGATAATCAGATTACAGTGGGATTTCAAAATTAATTTGCCTTTCTTGGGCAGTTTTATGTTGTGTTTTGGGAATAATCACACAAAATGAACACTACAAATGAAAATCCTGGGTTTATTGAGGTCACTAGGGCAACTCCTACTGATTTCAATTGGGCCAGGGCCTCACTTTATGAGGAAGTCTTGGGGAGAAAATAAATGCAGACTTCTAGAAATGCAGCAGCATGCCAAGAAGCCTTTTCTTAATTTTATTTTGAACATGGTCAGACTGCCATCTGAGAAAGCAGCTCCTTTCATTGCCTTCAGGAAAACAGCAGGTATTCCTGCTCCCACTGATTCCCTGCAAGGAACAGGCTTTCAAAGCCACTGCTTTTTACAGTGGTCAAATACTGTTGATGGGCTGAAGTCCCCACCTCACCCCTGTGCCAGGATCTCAGCTTCCACTGAGGGCTGGGCTTGGGAGGTCCAAAAAAGCTCTCTCAGCTTTCTTAAGCTTGTCCTGGGCTGTGGGATAACTACTCTTGCTTATCAGAGGCCAGGAAATCCTGGGTTCCTACACCCAAAAGCTGAGCATTCACAAGGAGCCTGTTTTAGCCAGGACCTTGTCCTTGTGAGGGGCAGAGGTTGTCAGCTCCTGAGGAGTTTCCAACTGAGTGGGAACAGGGAGTCCCTTCTCCACCAAGCAGGATATTACCTGCAAGACTGAATTCAGCTCTTGGAGGCCATTTCCTCCTCAACCCAGAAACATGCTATCATTTTTTCCTTCCATTTCAAATTCCTTTTTTTCTGGTGCAAACACATATGTGCTTCTTGCCTGTTTATCAAAGAATCTGAGGCTGCCAACAGCACCCATCTCCTCCAACACACCAACTTAGACTTCTAGTGCCAATGTGGTCCTTCCTGCACCAAATCACATTGGTATCTACCACAGATTTGAGAGGTGGTGTCATTAGTACAGTACAAGGCATAGGACAGTTCCTGCTTGAAGCCAGTTCTACATGAGAAGTGCAGGACACATAAGAGAACTTGGATCAAGAATGTAGCAGTTTGGTACCAAGTATTGCAGTAAGAACTCTAACAACTTACCAAAAGTGAAAAGTTTGATGCCTGTAAACAGGCTTTGATCAGAATTTTGGATCAACTCTGAAGGTACTGACTTTTACTGGGGAAGACTTCCTCAATTAAATTTCCATGTCTATCAGACTATGGAGTATTTCTTATATTAGCTTAGTAACATCTGAAAGGTCTTGGAGATAGACATCATGGAAGTGGGGCTTCAGCTTCACTGACCACAGAAGTATTTAAAATGAAGCCTCAAATCTTCTGGAAGAAAATTGTTAAGTAAGAAAATAGTCAGAATTCTGAATAACACGATATAATTAACTTTTCAGCAGAGAACAGCCTCTTGGCACTAACCATGTCCTTTCTGATCTATCAGACACTGAAAAGCAAGGCCTTTCCTCTGCCAACTGTCTTCTTAGAATAAACAAAAGATCCTCCCCCTTCATCTCCACATATTTAATAATATTAATAGAACATTAAAATATTAATGCTACTAGACAAGGCCTTTCATAAAGCACATAAATGAATTCATTCACTCTAGCTCATTAGCTTAATCGTCAACCTTTTTACAGTGTAACTGATTAACATTTTCATTGTTCTCCCTTGTTTTTCCCTTAGACTTTTGCTTCTTTGGGGATCAAAAGATCTCTGAATACATAAGCTCAACAAATATCCCTACAAAACTGTACAACAATAGAGATAACTAAGTAAGGGCTTTCACAGCTCATGCTTCAAAGATACTGCAGGAAACAATCATTTAAGAATCATTTTTATTTGTATGTTTAACGTGATTATACACATTCATGAGTCCAACAAGATCTGCACTGTGACATTAAAGATACAGTACAATAACATTCAACATGAGGTACTTCATATATTTATATATATATATATCTGTCCTTTATAAATAATGCTGTAAGCCTGCTAAGGTCAAACACTGCTTCAGCACAAACGGGTGCTGGGACCTGAAGTGAGCCGAGTTTATCACAACAAAAAAGAAACAAACCCCAAAACAGTTCAGTGCAATAAGAATGTAGAAATGAAAATGTTTACTTAAATACTATTTCAGATATGCAGAAAGTATATTACATTATACTCTCTTATCACAGATTCCTCTCACCAGGAAAATCAAAGATACAAGTAGCAAAGATGGCCAGGTACAGTTTAAGACAGAATCTACGAGGTGATCTCTATCGACACTACATTTACGTTCCAGGCTGATGTGGCTGATGCTTGCAAGATGGCAGTCAATGTATTCAAGCTTGGATGCTACTGCTAAACCAACCAAATTCACATTTAGACACCTATTGAAGTGCCCTGATGTCCAAAGGTGACTGGTGCTGGCCACCTTCTTACATGCCAGTACTCGTTAGCATCAGGCAGTGCTCAGAAACAAGTCACACTGTGAGCATCAAAAGGTGTTTTGGGGTGCTTTTGTTTGGTCATTCATACTGGAAACGTTCACATGCACCAGCTCCTAAAACCTGGAATGCACTCAGAGGAATTAAGCCAGAGGTTGCTTTCATCCTACTTCGTCAAAAGGATTTCATAAAAGAAGCAAATAAGAATAATTAAATAACAGCTCATTTTTCTACATATTACAGCTACAGGGTATTTTGATGTCTGAACTTCTGTTCTAGCCAGTGAAGGTAGCAGATACCTCACCTTTGTTTACCGGTAAGTAAAACAAAAAAAAAAAAAATTAAAAGTGAGGACCCAAGTCTAGTTATACCAATGCAGTACTCTCTGACTTGTCCCACCAGCTGAGGCACCTGGGTTTTTTCCCCAAACAACTCAGAATGCAGTTTGCATTGACAAGCAACTTGTCAATCTGATCATCACTCCGAGTAATTACATCTGCATCAGCCGCTTGCTGTAAGAAAACTTAATCAGCTGATTAGCGTCTTTCACTGCTTCAAATGGATCTAAATAAATGGAACTGCTGCTCAGATGTTGTCTAAAAGTAGGGTGACCATTACCTCATCACAATCTTCGATTCCTTTTTGTGATCTCTTCAGCAACTCTTCCTCCACTCCATACCATTTATACTCTTCTCTATTTTCAGCTGCAGATCTAAATAAAAATAACTGGAGGTTTTTTTAAATCTCTCTCTGGGAGTTTTCCATGGAGCATTCTGTTTAGGTTTCACTAACAGCCTGGATTACGTACATCTGTTACAAAAAACAAAACATTTCTCTCTGTATTTTGAGGATATTTACATTTCAGAGAGAGCTCTGCTTACACACACATGTATGTATGTATATAAAACATTAAGCGCTAAGATGGATGAAAGGCATAAATCCTGCAGGGTAGTTTTTTTACCTGGCTCTCCTTTTATTACCTAGAGAGAAGATCTGGGCTTTGGCCATAAAGTGTTTGATGTCTATGCTCCAGTTTTCCTTACTTCAGATGGTTTTTCGGACACTGCAAAGATGTATTGGCACTTTAGGATGGCCGGGGGCCAGGATTCCAACCGTCCAGCAACACTCAGAGTAATAGCATTAAACTGGTAAGAAATCAAATGAGAAAAACATTTTTATTACAGAACTGACAAGTGAATTTAGGGTTATGCTACATTAATGCGTTGATATACTATAACATTTATCTTCAGCCTGTCTGAAGAATCGTTTGGTCCCTCTCATTTCGTTAAAACGTACGCAACAAACACAACCCACTTCAGAGGTGAAGGAAGAATGAGATGCTTTACAACAGGTAGTGTGTCTCTGAGGAGCAACTGTCCCAGTGCAGTGGTGAAGGATTTGCTCATGTTTAAACAGTACCTGTAGTTCTTATTTATACTGGATTCCTTCCCTGATACAAGGAGTATCCCTAATATTTTCCAGAAATGATACAGACATACAACAAGAAGTTGGGGGGAAAAAAATTCAGACAAGGAAAAGGTTCTGTACCACATAATCCTCTGATTGATGTGTAGCCATAAGCAGTTGCAAGAGATCCAACATTAACACATCAGAGAAGACTTCTTCCTCCTCACTGCTATCTGATAATATAAACTAAGTGTAATACGACCACAGTTGGGAATCTTCTGTCTTTGCCTAAATTGCAACTGGTAATAAAAAGAAAAAAAATCTCATATTACAGAAAAAAGTCCAAGTCAGGATTGATACATTCTGTTGTTTCTCTATAATCTGACTCTACCATGTTTAGGAAAAAGAAAAAAAACCCACCCCAAACAAACAAAAACTTATCCTGCATCAGATGATTGATATTAATTCCCATTTATTTAGCAGAGAAAAGCCATTTAAGGAGCAAATCAATGTAGCAAAAACTAGGTCATGGGAGTAGAGTTTCAAGAGCTGCATATACAATTTGAACACGTGCAAGTACTTCCTTGCCTTCAAGGTGGGATTCCTAGTAAATGAACTCCGAGGGTTACTTGCCAAGTCCACATCCCTTCCTCACTGTAAACATGTCCATGCACTGTGGACATGGTCAGCATGCTGTGTAGCTTCCTGAAAGATGTTTCCTTCTCTCCATCTTCCCCTGTAGCCATCCCAAACAGCTGGCTGCAGGAAAATCTTATAGTATGAAGGTTTAAAACCTGTGCTTTTTCCACTTACAACTGAGGGACTTCTTTCAGCTCCCATGGTCAGAAGCAGCTTGGCTCATTGGAATCTCCAAAGTCTGCAGAGCAGACAGCAGAGAGAGCCATAAAACAAGGCTCTTCATTTTCTACCCCTACCTCCCCAAAGAATTACAAGCAGAAAGCAGGAAATGGAGAAAGAGGAAAGGGATCAATGAAGACAGTGTTTAGTGAGATACAAGAGGGGGATGTCCTCTGGTGATTCACAGGTGCATCAAAGAAAGGGTCAGCGTCACCAGCAAACAGGCACCCCTCTTACAAAAAGCCTTTAAAACTCACTTGTTTCCAAGAGCTTCCAGTTTAAAATATTACACTTAAACTTTATCACCAATGATGCTACAAGCACAGCAAGCCAGGAACTTGCCCACAGCGTTTACATATTCCCTGCACTGATCACATATCTGCAGATAAAAACCTAAGTGTCAGGAGGCCTGAACCTGACAGGTTCTTCATAGCAAAACGCTTTGTCTCCACACACTCTCATTCAAGCATAAAAGATGAGTTCGGGAATTTGCCCTCCCTGTACCCCCGTGCCGTTTGTACTGTCCGAAGAGCACTGAAACTGAACAGTCACCTTCCCACACTGCACTTCTGTCATTCCTTCCTGTCCAAAATAGCTGAGTTCGTTACCATCCAGAATCACGCTCGCTGTGTAAAAGGTGTCGGGCTCAATCTGCACCGGGTATTCAAACCACACGGGGAAAGTGTTACTAGAGCCATCCGAGAAGTATTTACTCAAGTTCTGGCCCAGGATAACTCCTTGTCGCTTGAGTTCAATCTTGGCACTGTACTCTGCCGACCCACAGCTGGAGCCGTAGAGCCCAAAGCCGGCGATAAACACTCTCTTATCCACAGCAAACTGGATGCTGTCGCAGCGGCCCCGGTAGCGCCACTGGTTGCTGCGGTAAGCGCAGGACTGGAAGCGGTGGCAGCGCTGAGGGACGAGGCCTTTCCGGGGCTTGCTGACAAACTGCAGCTCCGGCTTCTTGGCCGCCGTGTACCACAGGAAGATGTCGTTGGTCTCGTTGAGGGTCAGGATCCCAGACTGAGCAGCGCCGTTGGCGAAGTCGTCCAGAGCCATGGTGGGGATGCGGATCAAGTACAGGGCCTTGCCCAGGACTTTGCGTTTGTTCTCTATGGTCGCCGTCAGCTCCTGCCGCTGACACTCCACCTCAGCCCAGTTCAGGGCCGCCTCGAAAACAACGATTTCTTTGGCATTCAGAGTCTCCCTTCGGAGGATGCTTTCAAGTGTCTGAAAATCAATGTCACAGAACCCCTCAGACTTCAAAGCTAGCTCGGCTTGGGCATCAATCACTTCCCAACAGCGCTGGGTCAGGTCGGGTTCCTCGAATAAGCAGCTCTGGGAAAGCAGCACACACGCATTCTTTGCACTCAGACTTGTCTCTAGGAAGTTGACACAGGCGCGGGCGAGATGAGGGACAATGTATTTCTTGGCAGCATAAAGAGTGGCCAGGACGGTGTCGGCAGCCAGATCGATTTCATCACAGTAAATGTACCTGAAATAAAACACAGGGACGTAACACTGATGCTTAATGCAAAAATGTGTCAACAACAAACTTATAAAAAATTATAAACAAAGAATAGTTAGATGGCTTCACAATAAAACTAA